GGAATGAACTACGGTAAAATCACAGGTTACACGAGGAGGAGGCTAGCTGTGGCTTTGATGGTAGCTTTTGGGCAGTCGAGCTGCCAGCAAGCAAAGGTTTTCGGGAAGGCCTTTACTAGCCGACTAATTAACATTGCTTAGGTTTACTTACTCAGAGTGAGTGCGCCTTTCTTGCACTTCAAGTGGTAAATGTAATCCAAGACCTGAGAATTGAAGCATGGAGTATAGTTTCGCACCTGCTCTCACCTACATACTCTTTCTCACATGCGGTGGAGCGTGTCAGAAGGGTGGACTCGAGCTCATGAGCTGCTGCGGTTCCTGCCAATAGTCGCATTGTCTGGCTCACAAGTACTGGTAGAAAAAAAGCAGCCCCACATGGCTTTTTTTCTCCGACACGTCCCGCACATACGTCTCGCCGCATCCAGTCTTATGCATTACACTTTTGCATGAAGTATGCTCAAAACAACATCTGGCACGTGAATGATGTGAAAAACCTCGTCGCATCCACTTTTGCGTACTACATTCTAGAGCAAACTGTTTGTAAAAGAACCTCTGGCACGTCAACAAGTGAAACATATTGCACTGCACGTACGTTGTACGTTACTACCAAGCGAAGCGCACGAGAATGCAGACACGTGTGCAGTCAAAAAGTCCGAGACGGGAATATCATGAGAATTCATGAGATGGTATACGAGGGGGTACCTCATGGCAATCAATCTACCACTGGAACCCCCCCCCCCTTTCCCACCCCCTTTCTCGCCTCAGATATTTGCCTTTGCCCAGGTGATCTGCTATCGACTGGAGAGAAGCGGGGAGCGGATGTGGAGAACACTCCTCCTATTGACTTTTAAAAGTAGCAGCTCTAACGCGGCGCCGGCCAGAAAGCATGGAGCTATATAAACGAGAGCGATCGAAAATCGAAAAAATCCCCACGACCTGCTTCCAGGAGCCAATTACGATTACCTGGCGGGTCATGTACGCTGACCCAATCCATATATGTGGAATTCGGCAAGCCCCTAGCTTTGTCGTTTAAGAGTGTCACCTCGTTTAGGAGTTCTCAGGTAGCTACGACCGACAGTGAAAGGAGGCGCTGTTCGGCGACGGGGGGGGGCATTTTGCACTTTTGCTACTTCCCGTCGACGTGTCGACCCATCTAGACAGCCTCTTCTCGAGCTTGACAGGTTTTACCATGATGGCTTGACGAGCTTGCTCCAGCTTCACAAGAGTTTACAGGTTCACCAGAGTAGACTTGTAAACCGGAAATTGTGAAACAAAAGTAACAAAATGCCCCCCCCCCTCCAATAGCCGTAGAAGGCTGTTCGCTTGAGCATAATAGGTAAAATATAACATGTCAGAATTCATCCAGTACTTTGAAGAGAAGGAAGCTCTCGAATTAGCGAAAGAAGGAAGGGGCTGAGAGCACTATTCCACAGCCTGTTTTTTTAACATTTCAAGGAGGGCTAGTTGGTGGCCTGATACGATATGCCTTACGATTTGATGAGGAATGTCATCCTGCCTTTTGCTAGACAAAGACACGATTACGATAATCACAAACGGCCATATCCGCCGAAAGTGCAGCGACTGCCAGGCTCAACTTGCAGCCGCCGCCCCCCCCCTCTCACATCCACGGGATATAGTGCGCAACCCCGTAGACAGCGCCCAGCAAAACTACGCTCACTATGCTCAGACGCGGACGTCATCTTCCTCTACCCCCCCCCCCGTGCGTCCTTCGGCAACAATTCAGAAAAATTTTGGTGAAAGGTTTGTAAGTTGTGAAAAGGCGAAGATCCTTGTGAAACGATGGTGGAATTAAGCGCTCACCATGCATGCACTCACAGCGCCCATTGGGCGTCAAATCTTTACCCGATGGCAAAGGTCCAAAGACTCGGTGCATAGGTTCCGCAATATGCAATTTTCAAAAATTCAGTGCAAAAAACCAGACATTAAATACTCCATTAAATTATATGGAACGCATTGGAACATTTCATCTTCCTTTTTCCTCACAAAATTTATGCGGTAAAACGCCTTGTGCCAAGCCTATATTCAGTTCTTAGACGTTCTGTGAGCACTAGTCAGTCTTGAGCTGAATATTTTCACATTCTCACAAAAACCTACCACCTCTTATAATCCAAAGACTCACCCGTGCAGTCTCGAATTCTGTGAGGTCCTTTTCGATGACGTTCTTCTAGCTCTTATTCGAGACTCCTCGTGACAGGTCGCCGTTTGAAGGCCTAGGGCTCCGGAAAAGAAAGGCTTTTTCCAAACAGATGGCTCTTAAGCCTTCCAAGCTCGTACCTGTTTCATCGCAGCCGCCGGTTGCATGCCTTCAGCTGGGAGACGCCGTTTGCATGACCGTCCTGACATCCCTGTTTCTGACTTTACTCAGCTGAGCCCATCTGCGCGATCATCGCAACGTACCCATTTCAAAGCAGGGTACAGTATCGTGATGTATGATATGGTTGTGTAGGTACGACCCCCGCCCCTCTCCGTGAGGGGTTCAGTACGACCCCCCCCCTAGCTAAATGGGGGTCTCGGTCTTGGGTGGTACACATAAAAGAGGAAAAGTTGTTCCAACACGGCAAATTTCTCTCGAACGCACATAGACCCCTCCTCCCTAGCAGAAAAATACGAAACCTCCCTGTGTTTCAAACAACAATGCTGTATCCTGTTTCAGAGTCTAGCTGTCTTCTAAGGTTCTTGCCTAGGGTTTTGCAGTCATAGAAGATAGTGGACTTGACTTTCTTTTGAGCGTCCACTAATGACTATGATGCCCGTCGACCCTCTCTATTTTCACCTATGCCTTTGGCGCCTGGTCCACCTTCAAAACAAGATTGCTTATCGGATAGCAGAAGGACTCTGTCCTTTCAATGATCTCGCTGTGGCTGGTCTACGGTGTCTTTGATACAGACTCCGAAACTAAGGAACCTCCTTATCTTCAACTGGACACAACTCTAAAGAACTTTCTGTCATCTCTGCACCTCCCTCCAAACTTCTTCTAAGGTGCCTGGCATCAGGGCGATCCCTCGGCGCAGAGGCTGGTCTTCAGTGCCCCCCCCCCTCACCAAATCCTTTGCCATGACATCCAGAGTTTGGAGGAAGAGGTGCGGGCTCAGAGGCGATCCTTGGTGTGTCCTAACTATATGTTAACTTTTTCGTCAAGCCGTGTGGCGTGCATATTGCCGCCATAACCCCGTCGTACCCCTTGTGCTCCGCAAGGGCTGCTACTCTGCTACTAACCAGATGACTCCATAAATGCGCCTGAACTGAGCGTGCTGATAAATGGCCACTTCGGTCATTGGCCCAACATTTTCTTCTCCACTAGAATCGAGTTCTACGCTCGCTAATCTTTTTTCACTCCAATATTTGGGTTTGCTTCTGAAATTTTTGATTTGTTCTTGCTTTAAAGACACTTTCCACGATAAAATAAGGCTATAGCCTCTCAAATTTGTCAGGTGATCCGGAAGGCGATTCTGAAGGCAGTGCTACCTTCAAAAAGTAAAAACTGGCAGGACTGCAAGCTAATCAGTTAGGCCCATGGGCGCCCCTTAGGCCCATGCCGACCCCCACCGGCTGCTAGCTACTAGCTAGTAGCCACTGTGCTATCTCTCTCCATTCCGAATGGTGAGAGTGAGGTGATACGATAAAAGAGCTGATATCTTTATGATAACGACGAGTGGAAATTCGTACAAACATGCGTTTTCTTCATTGCATGCACATAACCTCGTCATCCGGGCAGTTGATTAGGGCGGTCGTCAACGGGCCGCAGCGCGTGCCAGGAACTATTTGCTTTTCCAGGCTAATTTAGTCATTTTTTCCACCTTGTGAAGATAAGGAGCTGCTAATCTGGGAAAGTAGCCAAAACAGTGAAAAGTTGGAAAAAATGACTAAATTAGCCTGGAAAAAGCAAATAGTTCCTGGCACGCGCTGCGGCCCGTTGACGACCGCCCTAATCAACTGCCCGGATGACGAGGGTACAAGTTGGGGCGACATGGAGTCCTATTTAGGGCATTTCGGACTGTTTTCTCTGCATCTTTTCTTTACTAATAAGTTACCTAGCACATAGTCGTTCGTATTTTAGCTCCGTTACCCACAATCTGTGGTGGCAAGCTTTGCCTTTAATATCCAATACTTTGCAATATTGTTCCAGTTAATATAGCGCCCACAGGAAGTTGCTATTTTTTTCTGGGCTTCGTGGGGTTTAGGAGTAGGTCTTAAAGCGTAACACATAAAGGGCACATTCGGTGGAGACGCTGTATTCCTTGCGCACCCAAGTTAGCTTCATGTTGTGTTGCATTTAGCGCATCTAGCAACATTTCACAGGTTTCAAAGTAAAACCTGAGGTGGAAATCAGCAAATGAACTAGCAAAGTCCCCTTCCCCCTAGGCCGAACAGCGCCCTCATTTCTTCGGAGCGATTCACCAGCTCATACACTTCACGGGCGGCGAAGTCAAAGTGTTCAACATAGGGGGTGCAAAAACCGAGAGCTTGGGGTCTTAACAAGAAGGTTCACCTGCTTCCCATCAGGGATATTGGACGGCGATTAGGTGGATATCAGATAAGTGAAAGATGCATAGTCTTGTTTGCTGCAAATCCCGGGGCTGGGCTTGGCTCGGTGCTAGTCCTTCTTCATCATTTGCTGAAGCGAAGAAGGGGTAAGTGAAGAACGATGTATGGCCGCTCCAAACGCAGATCCGCTGACACGCCCGGACGACTCACGTGCCAACGACTTTGGCGGAGTCAGCCCCATTACCATGCACTCCCCATTAGCGAGTTCAACCTCTTCCCTTCCGAGACAATTAAGGAGTAGCGGCACGCTCAGGCACCATGGTAGATGTTCATATAATGAGCTTGGAATGCTGCCTATAACAATCTAGACATCACCGCAGCTTTCTTATGCTCAAGACCACATGGATTTCCTATCATTGCCAGCACTCACGCGCTTCAGTGCTTTTGAAATTGAGAATGTCGATATCAATCCTCGTGGTTTTTTAGACTACGAAATGTACAAAATCCATCGAGATGGTGAAAAAGGATTGAAGGGCGAAAAAGTGAGTTTTAAAAGTGTAAAATGAAGAAAAACCAGTAAGTGCGTGTACCCAATAGGTAGCGTGACATAACTCGATTAAGTAGGAAACATTTGTCAACACAGCGATCAATGTATCGATTTTCAGAAACGGGCGGCTAGCAATGGAGACGACGAGGAAAAGAATAAGGTGGGCTATTTGCATGTATAGTTGTAGTCCTATGGGGACAACAACAGGATTTTAAGGACACTACTTGCATTTTATCGCCCGGCTTTACGAAATTGGCGCCATATTTCAATTGAAATTTTCAACGGGATAGAGTTCAGAAAACGAATGACGTTTGGCGGTCATACAGACCCGACCAGTACAAGTGAAGTCACGACTTTGGGGAGACGAGCACGTGCTATTAAGGCCTGACAAGGGAATGGTTCGAACTTCCCGTGGAACTTTGAATGGAGACCTAGGTACATCGATAGAGCCTCGAATGCTGCTTAGAAATTAGACAGACCAATTGAAAGTGCTACGGGGACCTCCCAGACGAGATCTGGGTGGTCAAAGTTTGAGTTCTGCTCGTAAGCGCTGCTGATCGATGCCTCGGCAGTGCCACCGTGGCCTCGTGGTAATGGTCTCGCTTTCAAGTCAAACGCATGCGGGTTTGCATCCGGTTGGCGCGAAAATTTCTTGCTCTAATTTTCGCAAATTCTTCCGAATTTACGGCCCAGCAGGGCAAGTAGATCAAGTACATCAAGTATACGACATACTCGATCTAGTATGGATTTGGTCATATCTGCCCTCTCTGAACATATTACCCATCCGACAATTCAAAGTTTTAGCGAGAAATTCGTTCATGGGAGATTTCGACCCCCTGAACACGAATATCACATCCTTCGACGAAAAAACGCTCGTCTGGCCAAATTGCGATTCTGGGCAAAACTTTGAATTGTCGGATGGGTAATATGTTCAGAGAGGGCAGATATGACCAAATCCATACTAGATCGAGTATGTCGTATACTTGATGTACTTGATCTACTTGCCCTGCTGGGCCGTAAATTCGGAAGAATTTCGAAAATTAGAGTTGAAGCTCTTATACGGAGCGAAGCAAAAATTTTCGCGCCAACCGGATGCAAACCCGCATCGTTTGACTTGAAAGCGAGACCATTACCACGAGGCCACGTGGCACTGCTGACGCATCGATCAGCAGCGCTTTACGAGCCAGAACTCAAACTTTGACCACCCAGATCTCGTCTGGGAGGTCCCCGTAGCACTTTTAATCTGCATATTCGTAATCAGCATTCGAGGCTCTATCGATGTACCTAGGTCTCCATTCAAAGTTCCATGGGAAGTTCAAACCATTCCCTCGTGAGGCCCATCCGGCAAGGATAAGGCTGAACAGCAAAGCCGCAGGTAAGCGACCACGACCAGCTCCAAAAATGTTCGGAAGGACGTCATCAAGAAGGACCTCCTTGAAGGCAAGGTCACCGCTAAAGATGCATTAGAGAATGTGGCGTCGCTAGCTACTAGGAACAGACACTTAGCCACCCTCTGGAACAAATCCCGATCAGAGTCTAGCGTGAATTTCGAAGGACAGTTCAGTGAAGGATGAATAAATAAATAATGAATAAATATTACCGAATGATGCATGGGGAACCGTTCCATATATCAGCCAAATATCCTTCACTTGGGAAAGAGAAAGCTGGAGCAGCGAGGCATCATTTGGAGTCGTAAAATGGGCCCACCCATGGTGTTTACTACCACTGATGCTTTCTTCCTTAACCGACCACTATTGCTAGAACCAGCCATTGGCGGGCCCATTTCATCTCACTCATTGTCCCTTCCAGACAATAGTAGAGCATGGGTATTAGCGATTTGATGGTATAGAGTAATAGACTGCATTTGCAGTAATGGTTCCTGCAAGCAATAGGGCATGTGACGCAGCGCGAATTGCAGCCGAAACGCTCTATTTCGCCCCACCAATGGCGCCATCCTGAGCACGATGCAGTTGACGGGAAATGTGATCTGCCTGCCCCGCAAGCCACGCCTCCGTCACACGCCCTATCCGTGCAAGGATCACGACTGTATGCTTCTTTTTTACGGCTGTCCAATAACCAGTTCATTCAGGTGATCGTACTCGACATGGATGATAGTGAAGAAACCCGACGGTTAGAGCGCAAGAAACGAACGCAAGAGGATATGGTGGCAGATTTTGTGAAGATTCTCGAACAAATGAGTCAGTTTCCATTATTGATTTTTCGGCCGGTCCCTGTATCCATTATGTCCTAACGGAGAGTAAGAATGACAAGTGGTCACATCGCTCATCGCACAGTTTCGCTAGTCGCGCAGCTAAATTGCCCAGTCGCCAACTATAAACGCCGCTTTCATGCATTTGCGCGAGATTAGAATTCGGAAAAACTTAACATTTG